AGCAGAGAGAGAACCCCAAGCAGGCTCCGTGCGGTCAGCACAGAGCCTGACGTGGGGCTCAACCCCACGAACCGTGAGATCACCACCTGAGACAAAAGCAAGGGTCAGACGCTTAACTGGCCTGAGCCACCCAGGTGTCCCTATTTGGACTACTTCTAGAAAGAAATACTTGTCTTTCTCAGCTAATTGTCTACACTGCGGTCCAGTTCTTGCGTAAAAGGCAGGATAGATGCTGAATTCATTATTTTTTCTGGGGGGTGGGAGGACCAATTTTCGTAATACCGACCTAGTTCCTCGATCCCGTAACAGGAAGAGGGCTTGTCTGATCCTCTCCTGTCCCTGGAGGAAGAAAAGGGTTAAGAAACAAAATCCAGGGGCACAGTCAGTTGAGCCTCAGACTTTGCCTCAGGTCATGATCTCCAGATTTGTGAGTTCAAGCCCCACATCTGGTTCCCTGCTGTCAGCACAGAGCCCGCTTCAGATCCTCTGTACCCCCCCCTCGGCCGATCCTTCGTTTGTGCTGTCTCCAAAATAAATAAAATCTGGGGCGCCTGGGTGGCTCAGTCGGTTAAGCGTCCAACTTTGGCTCAGGTCACGATCTCGTGGTCCCTGAGTTCGAGCCCCGCGTCGGGCTCTGGGCTGATGGCTCAGAGCCTGGAGCCTGCTTCCGTTTCTGTGTCTCCCTCTCTGTCGGCCCCTCCCCTGTTCATGCTCTGTCTCTCTCTGTCTCAAAAATAAATAAAAACGTTTAAAAATTTTTCTAAAAATAAATAAAATCTTAAAAAAAAAAAGGAAATAAAATCCAACTGAGTAAAATTTAAAAATCTCATGGGCTTTATTCAATGATTTATCAATCAGGCAGCATCCCATCCTGCAGGCCCCACCCCAGGCAGTGACCTGTCACCTCACTGTCCCTGACCTCCTCTGCCCAACAAGACTTCAGCCCAGAGCGTGTGTCTTCTCTCGCACCCAAGTGTGGGGTATCTGGTGCAGGCTCAGGGAGGCCTCACCTCTCTGAGCCACCCCAGCCTTGCTGCGCCCTCCCTGCCCCCGGCTCGAAGGTGAACAGGGCAGGGACTCCCAGGTCTCAGCTCCCGGGTCCTTAGATCCTGGGGCTCTGCCCTGTGGCCCTCGCTGATGACAGTGCAAGAAGAATTCAACATCAGAATATCCCAGGGCCAGCCACTGGGGCCTCCCAGGCCCACCCAGAGACAGGGCCATGAGGTCATAGTGGACAGTGAGGAGGACAGCCACCCACGTGATTCCCTCGACAGGTTCAAAGTTTCTAACAGCTGCCTCCCTCTTTCATTATTTAAATCACGCTATTCTGTCTCGTCCTGTCCCAGAGGCGAGAGCACAGGCTCGAGTGGAGTGTTTTGGGATGGACAGGACGAGAGAAGGAGACCCGAACAGTGTAGAAGTCAAAAGACTATACATAGGAGAGGGGCCTTTGTTTCCAGAAGTTACAGGCCAGAGATTCAGAGATGAGGCGGTGAGGGGTGATGCTGGCCACTTACTCTCAAATGGTTCAGGAAACAAAAGTGAGGAAATAATATTCCCTCGTAGGGGAGATGTGAGGATTGAGTGATAGGATGTGTGATAGCTTGTAACAGTCCTTTGCATGTAACCTTTCGATGGATGGTGATTCATAGGTAAAATCACTCTCAATAATGAATAAATAAGCTGAAAAAAATTATTGAGGCTCCCCAAAGAGTTTTCATTTATGCGGGCTAGAGATATATAGCGTAGCATACTGGTAAAGCAGCTGTCTGAAGGAAAAGTAACCCGGTGATGCGGTGTTTCCATGGTGTAAATACTCCCGCCACGGCCCATTTCAAGCTACTCAAGTTTTAAAAACTGGCTCCCATGATCCTGAAAATTACCTTACATAAATTTAAACAAATTTTTAAAAGATTTAGTTATTCGTTTTGAAATAGCAATAATAAACCCACTACGTGTTAATATCAGAGCAGTGACATCATCCCCAGTCACATGGCCTCTGAAAAAGTTCACTGGACTCTGGGGAAAAGAACAGGCAAATAACATCTTGGAATTATTATGGGAATGGTTTTGCCCTTGTGGACCCCACGAAAGGATCTTAGAGACCCCCAGGGGTCTGCAGACCGTGCTTTGGGAACCTCTGGGTTAGAATTTCAGTTCTCCATTCAATCCAGTGCCCTTCTTAAAAAAAATAGATATTTTAGGGGCGGTTGAGCGTCCGGCTCTCTTTTCGGCTTAGGTCATGATTTAATGGTTTGTGAGTTCGAGCCCTGCGTCAGGCTCTGCGATGACAGTGCAGAACCTGCTTGGGATTCTTCTCTCTCTTTCTGATCTCTCTCTGAGATCATGATCTCTCTCCCCCATTCATGATCTCTCTCTCTCTCTCTCTCTCAAAATAAATCAATAAACTTAAAATTAAAAAAATACTTTAGATACCCTTTTATTATCATGAAATTCAGTTCACGCGCAGCATAATTTACCCGTGCATATCATCTCTAACTGAAATGCCTTGTGAGAAGTTGTCTGTATATAAAGAAACAAAGGAGGGGCGCCTGGGTGGCTCAGTCAGTTAAACGTCCGACTTCGGCTCAGGCCGTGATCTCACGGTTCGTGGGTTCGAGCCCCGCGTCGGGTTCTGTGCTGACAGACAGCTCAGAGCCTGGAGCCTGTCTCAGATTCTGTGTCTCCCTCTCTGTCTGCCCCTCCCCTGTTCAGACTCTGTCTCTGTCTCAAAAATAAATAAACATCAAAAAAATTAAAAAAAAAAAAAAGAAGCAAAGGAAAAACTACCACGTACAGTCCTTCACAGATGCGCGTGTTTAAGAACTGAGGGGGTAGGTGGTTAGGTTTTAGAAAGGCGTCGCACATATATGGTGCATTACTGTGACAGCCCAGCTGGGGTCAGGGTGGCACTTTAGTATTTCTGCAGGGAAATGTGGGCTGGCCACATCAAAGTGGGATAAATACCGATTACCAAAAATAGCATCAGGTCAGGCTTTGCCATCCACTCAGACAAGCCTTTCCTTTTCAGTTGTTTGGATCTGGGGACTGTGAATGACCGATGGGGAGGGAGCCTGTAATTTACAAGAAATACAAGGTGCTCCATTAGGTCAGTGCTCACAGCCATAACACAGCCAGATGCTCCTGCTTTTGGCGAATTGGAAGTTTAACTTTTTTTTTTTTTTTAACCGTCTCTTTATTTTTGAAGAGTCGGAGACGGACGGAGCACGAGCGGGGGAGGGGCAGAGAGAGAGAGCGGGAGACACACAGAATCCAAAGCGGGCTCCAGGCTCCGAGCTGCCAGCACAGAGCCCAACCCGGGGCTCGAACTCATGCACCCTAAGATCATGACCTGAGCTGAAGTCAGCCGCTTAACCCACTGAGCCACCCAGGCGCCCCGTGGTGAATTACAGGTTCAGATTTAAGGTGAAGAGGACAAGATTTAGTCAAATGTCTATTTTTTTCTTTACCGTTGACATTTTGGAATAAGGGCTAAATTAGACGATTCGTATGTCCATGTGGGTTGCAGGAGAAGCCAAAGCAGAGGGGTCAGCTCTGTTGTCTGGGATTCAAATATCATGATGAGGGGGGATGTTGGTGATGTGATTCTCCGAGACAGTCAACGCTCCCCAATAGCAACTGCTGTCCCAAACAGGGTATGATCTTCCCTTGATTCACATGGACTTGCTTTTCTGGAAAATTCACAGCATATTAAAAATAGAACTAAATTCTTGCTTTTTTTTTTTTTTTTTAAAGATCCAGATTCTTTTTCTTTTTAATGTGTATTTATTTTTGAGAGGGGGGAGGGCCACGGGGTGGGGGTGGGGGGACAGAGGATCTGAAGCGGGCTCTGAGCTGACAGCGGGGCTCAGACTCAGGAAGCCGCTTATCTGACTGAGCCACCCACGCGCCCCAAATTCCTGCCGTTTGTCTATGAAACAGGAGTCGCTGTAGCCTCTGACAGTCACAGATTCTTCCTGCACGTACCGATTCCAGGAGGACCCAGGAAACCCTTCCTCGTCAGGGCCGTGCAACGGCGTCGCAAGAGCTGGGAGCCCCTGGCCCCGGCCACCAATGGCCAGAAACCTTACATATGTACATACCCCTCCTGGGACGCCCTGGCTGCTCACTGAGCTGTGAGAAGTATCAGCAGGTGAGCTGGGGGGCTCAGGGCCCTGGGAGATTCTCTTGCGGGGGGCGGCGGGGTGTTGAGGGAGCCAGAGGGGGACCTGGGCCACAGCATCCACCCATCATCCCACGGCCCGGGGCAGTTACCTGCACCGACACAGACATGCACACGAGCATCTGTACAGGGACCTGGGACGTGTGTGAGACCCTTCCGTGCGTGTGACCATATAGGCACGCGCGCGAGCTGCCTCCCATTTCACTGATGTCAGGTGCCCTTCTTTACGGAACCCAGATGCGCACTCGTGCCAACGCTCACCCGCGCGCCCACGTCGACAAGCCTGCGCATACCAAGGCCTGTCTAAGGCTAAGACACAGATCTCAGTCTTAAGGTCTACGCCACGTGGCTTGTTACTGACGTGCATTAACACCAGCCTGTCTTGTGACCCCTACCTGTGCGACCCCGACATCCACGTGACACGTATGTGCGTGGACACGTACATGGGTAGTGAAAGCGCCCGTCTGAGCCTTTCTCGTCCACCCTCCAGGCTGGAGCCCCTTGGCCAGCAGGGACAGTTCCGGTGAAATTCTCCGACGCTCCACCGGGCAGAGAGTAGATGTATCATTAAAGCTCGTGTAAATGATCGAGTGAATGATAACTAATACCACGAACTCGCCAGGTGGCGGGCACTGCGCGAAACACTCACATGCCTGCTCTCGTCAAATCCACACCACAGGGGCGCCTGCGTGGCTCAGGGGGTTGGGCGTCCAACTCTTGATTTCGGCTCAGGTGGGATCCCAGGGTCGTGGGATCGAGGCCCGTGTGGGACGCTGCGCTGAACGTGGAGCCTGCTTGAGATTCTTTCTTTCCCTCTGCCCCTCCCCCCCCCAATCCACACCACAGTCTAAGACGTAGGGACTGTTATGATCCCCACCATACAGACGAGGAAAACTGAGATATCAGGACACTACGTAACTTTCCCAAAGTCATACATCATGTACGTGGCAGACCCTGGATTTGACCCAGGCCTCCCAAACTCCAAACTGAGCATCCTTAACCACTGGCCTCTAATTGTGAGGGGAGAGTCCCCTCCCCCAATTCCTGGGACACACTGCCATCCTTCCAGGGCAGGCACTCAGCAAGCTAGAAGAGCAGAAGGCAAGCAGCTTTCTATTATCAATTCAGAGAAGAAAAGAAACCAAAGATACACTTCGGTTTTTAAAAAAATGTTTATTTATTTTGAGAGAGAGAAAGAGTGAGAACAGGGGAGAGGCAGAGAGAGAGGGAGAGAATCTCAAGCAGAGATGTGGGGCTCAGTCTCACGAACCGGAGATCACGACCCCAGCCAAAATCAAGAGTCAGATGCTCAACTGACTGAGCCACCCGAGTGCCCCAGTAGATATACTTTAATCCCAATTTAATCCAGAAACACGTGTCCCTGTGGGGGTGGGGTCCAGTGGACAACTAACTTTCAGGTAGAAGTAGGTGGGGGGGGGGCTCCTCTCCCTTCCTCATCATCATGGATCCATAGTCCTTATGTTAGTGAGGATGTGCACATATTGGAACCCTTGTTCGTTGCTGGTGGGAATATAAAGTGGTACAACCACTGTGGAAAACAGCTTGACAGTTCCTCAAAAGGTTAGAAATTACCAGCAATTCCGCCTTCTAGGCGTATACCCCAAAGAATTGAAAATGGGTATTCAAGCAAATACTTGTCCATGAATGTTCATCATTCATAACAACCAAAGGACAGAAGCAACCCAAATGTCTATCAACTGATGAATGAGTAAGCAAACTGTGGTGTAGCCATACAATGGACTAATATTCACCCATAGAAAGAAATGAAGTAGAGATACAAGCTCACCCTGGGTTACTGTCTGAACCTTGCAAACATAGTGCTAAGTTAAAGAAGCCAAATTCAAAAGGCCACATAATGTACAGTTCCACTTACATGAAATATCTAAAATACATAAATCCATAGAGACAAAAAGTAGGGTGGTGGTTGCCAGGAGCTGGAGAGAGCAGAGACAAGAGTGACAAGTTTTCTTTGGGGCTGATGAAAATGTTTTTGAAGTAGATACAGGTGATGGTTCCACAACACAGTGAATATACTAAATGTCACTGAACTATATACATCTTAAACTGGCTAATTTTCCATTATGTGAATTTTGCCTCAATGAAAAAAAAAAAAAAAAAAAGAGGGGCACCCGGGTGGCTGAGTCAATTGAGTGTCTGGACTTTGACTCAGGTCACGATATCATGGTTTGTGAGTTCAAGCCCCACATTGGGCTCTGTGCTGACAGCTCTGGGCCTGGAGCCTGCTTCAGATTCTGTGCCTCCCTCTCTCTCTGTCCTTCCCCTGCTCGTGCTCTCTCTCTCTCTCAAAAATAAATAAACATTGAAAAAAGAAAAAAAGAAAAGAAAGAAGAAAAAGAGCTACCCCAGAAACTGAAAATAAAAAAATTCAGTTCCCCAATCACCCTGAGCACATTTCAAGTGCTCAGTAGTCACACAGGACCAGTGGCTGTCAGTTGGGCCGGCAGGGATCTAGAACATTTCCATCAACTTAGAAAGTTCTGTTGGGCAACGCTGGTCTAGAGTTGCCCGCAGTCTACATCTGGCTGATTGTTCTTTCACAGTGTTGTTTAATGTGTTCGTCCGTCCACTGCCTTTCCTGTAAACGGATGGTTACATCCGGGAGCTTAATCAGATGCAGGTTCAGTTATTCTGGTGGAAGTATTTCATCGGTGCTGTGTCCTCCCAACAGGGGGCACACCACATTCCGTGGAGTCCTGTGTGTGTATACCGACAACAGCATCTTTCCCCTCTGCCTGGCCAAGCGATGTCACGTGACCAAATGGGCCAGGGAATGCGTTCGATTTGCTTAGGAGAGTCTCCATGGTCACATAGGAAAATCATGGACGGGTGGTTCTATAACAAGGGGGGACTGGAGACTGGACAACAATAATCCAATCTATCCCGGGTGATATTATTTTCTATCAAATGCATATATATATATATATATATATACATATATATACACATATATATGTATATATATATACACACACACACATATATATATATATTTTTATTTTTATTTTTTAACGTTTATTTATTTTTTTGGGACAGAGAGAGACAGAGCATGAACGGGGGAGGGGCAGAGAGAGAGGGAGACACAGAATCAGAAACAGGGTCCAGGCTCTGAGCCATCAGCCCAGAGCCCGATGCAGGGCTCGAACTCACGGACCGCGAGATCGTGACCTGGCTGAAGTCGGACGCTTAACCGACTGCGCCACCCAGGCGCCCCTATATATATATATTTTTTTAGAAATGACTCTCTGGGGCGCCTGGGTGGCTCAGTCCGATAAACATCTGACTTCAGCTCAGGCCATGATGTCACAGTTCGTGGGTTCAAGCCCCGCATGGGGCTCTGTGCTGACAGCTCAGAGCCTGGATGGAGCCTGCTTCGGATTCTGTGTCTCCCTCTCTCTCTCTGTCCTTCCCCTGCTCGTGCTGAGTCCCCAAGACACCGTCTTATGAAGAGTGTGGCAGGGGCACCTGACTGGCTCAGTCAGTGAAGCGTCTGCCTCTCGATTTCCGCTCAGATCATGACCTGATCAGGGTTCGTGGTTCGAGCCCCGCCCAGGTCTCCGTGCTGACCGCGCAGAGCCTGCTTGGGATTCTCTCTCTCGTCTCTGCTCCTCTCTTTCTCTCAAAATAAATTAATAAGCCATGATGTGAGAAAGCCCAAGCTGCCACGTGGAAAGGTCACTTGTAGGTGTTCCGGCCCCAGCCCGCCGATGAGGTCTCAGCTGACAGCGGCATCCACTGCCGGGCAGGTGGGTGGGGACGCTTCAGATCCTCCCGGCCCACAGCCCTTGAGCTGCCCCAGCCGAGGCCAGGTAGGGCAGAGACGGCTGTCTACGCCAGTCCCTGCTCGGATGGCAGCTCACGAGCAAAGTAAACCTTGGGCGGTGGTTTGTTTCGGAAACTAGAGAGCTTATAGTTAGTTCTTTCGTTTAAGAGAAGGGAAAGAGGACTTCATTCAGACCTAACTCCGATGCCACTTCCCTGTACGAAAGCCTCCCGTGCTCCCATCTCCCTCACAGCAAAAGGCCAAATCCAGGGAAAATCTAAAAACCCACCCTACACCCTACCCCACCTCTCTGACTTCATCTCCCACTCTCCGCATCCATTCTTCAGCTCCAGCCACACCGGCCTCCTTGCTGAGCCCTGAACGGTCCAACCTCAGGACCTTTGCATTTGCTGTTCTCTTAGTTTAGCACAGTCTTCTCCCAGAAATCCACAGGGTTTTCCCCTTCATCTTCAAGTCTTTGCTCAAATGTCACCTTCTCACTAAGCTCTTCCATGATCAAACTATATAAAATTATAGTTCCCCCCCCCCGCCAAAAATCACTATCTCCCTCCATTCTCTGGGTTACATCTCTCTAGAGCACTTGTCACAATATAACGTACTATGTATGTCACTTATATCTCTTTGTATAGTCTGTCTGCCCAGAGTGTAAATTCCGTGAAGGCAGGTCAGAGACCTTGACCTGTCTTGTTCACCACTGTATCCCCAATGCCTACAACGGTATGTTTGTCATTCCGTGGAAATGTGTGGGATAAATGGAATGAATGAATGAATGAATGAATGAGGGGGTGGGTGTATTGTAGGATAAATAGATCCAGGGGAGAGGGAAGAGAAGGACAGAAAAGACTTCAACTCACCTTGAAAACAGAGGATTCCCTTTGCCCAAGGCAGAGCATATTCAAAACAAAACAAAACAAAACAAAACAACAACAACAAAACCACAACTTCATCCATACAACCAAATAATCAATCTCCAAGCCATGTCCCTCTGGCCTCCTGAACATTTGTTTCTCCCAACGTTTCTTTATGAGCATTTTCAAAGATATAGAAAATTTGAAAGATTTCATGGTGACGAACATGAACCGTGTCACCTAGGTTCTACGATTGCCATTGTGTTGTATTCATCCATCCACGCTCCACAGAG